TAGTTTTCATGACACATTCATCATCAATGGAAAAAATCACCTGGGTGTGGGTTGCATAACAACTTGAAAAGAATTCACAACCCGAATTCTAAGTGAACCCGCTCATGCTGCATGTATGGCAGTCTCGGCTCAGTGGGTACCAAAACTAGCTACGAGTAAAGTTTCCGTTCCGAATCCGTTGTCCGAGTTTTTTTTTCCGCTACGCGTTTCTATTTAATTTTCGTATTTTACTCTCATGGGAAAAAGAAAATGTTGCTATGATGTCCCTGGTTGTGTCGGCTTCTTTATTTTGTCAGCCGAGCTGTTGTTGTTGTTTTAATTTGGCGCCGTGGGCTATTGTTAAAGTGTTTAGTGTCCATTTGGGCGGGCGCTTAATTTTGGTATCACTTCTACTCGGCATTGGGAGGTGTTTCTACGGACACTTCTTAGAACAGAATACACAAGAGACTATTAACTAGCTGCTTGTCCATAGTGAACATAATATAACTGTTATTTTGTGTATGGCACGTAGACGCGATGACTGCGATGTGGTGAGACTAATAATAGAACCAATATCGTCAGATGGTTTGGGGTAAAGACCGTTCAAGGTACTGATTTCGTACATGATATCGTCACGCTAATGGTGCTGTTAATACCTGTTATGTGGGCTCTTGTTTATCGAAGCGCTACTAAAATCTGGGAGTTTGTTAACTTAAATAAGTCACATTAAAGTAGAGAGTGGTTGTAGACAGTTAAACGACGCACGACATACAGATGTAGAGTTACTTGAGTCCATCGAATCATGGTACTTGTACTTGTTGAAATCGAAGGAAACTGGTATGATGACGAGGCGCGCTCTTTGTTCGTGTCGCTTAAAACAACTGTATGTATTTTCTTCTGTATTCCTTATGTCCATATATTCTTTATGTATTTGATGTGTGTGTCGAGCTGAGTGGGTGACTGGGGCGAAAACATAGATTTCAAGAGAGTAGAAACGATATGATAAAATGAGATCGAATGACGATGTAAAGTCGGCTATGAAAGCGCGTTCCGTGAGGTTGAAAGATCCGCTTCAACACTAACGGTGAGGACGTGTTATTTCGAGTTATTTAGCGCCGTGAGGCAGGGTTTCAGCCTTAAAACCAATGAAAAGACGGGTATAATGGACTAATTAGATGACAAACTTTGCAAAGAGGAAGAAATGAACACTGAGAACGTCAGTCATGAAAGGGACAGAGTAAACAACATCAATGAAATCGTGTTAAATTTCTTTTACTTGGGGACATGTAGCGTTGTTTATGCGACGGTGTTAAAGAAGACGGTGAAAACGACAAAGAACGACAGTGGTGGGCCACATGTACTTGACTCTCTGTCAACATTGTACCGCCGTAACACCATTCAAGATGTCAATTTAACCGGAAAATAAAAAAGGAAGGAGTCATTTCTTTTTCTTCCGTGGTAATAATTATTTTTTACATTTGACCAGAGCATCGGTGACGATTTGAAAAATCTTTTAAACTTTATAAGCCAAATTTTCTTTATGGGCTTACCAACAATATATTTATACTTCGTAGTATGCGGAATTTTCGAGAAAAAAACATTTTCTATCAATTGTTAAACAGAAAACTATCCGATTTTGTTGTGTTCAGAAAAAAAAAAACATTTATGAAACACGACTAAAGTAGACAGCGTACCAGGTACCATGATCAAGATGAGCTCCGTCGTTCCAACAAAGATACATCATCATGAAATACACATAATGACGACTATGCATCATTCAAATTTTCAGCTCAATTGGGCAATAATTAAGAAATAATTGAGAAGGAATAACTTTTCAATGAAGAAGACTTATACAATTATAAATTATAAAATGGAAAATTATAAACAGTGTTTGAAAATGAAACACTGTCCTGGAATGTCCAGTGCTATATGCAAGGTGTGCACAGTAGCACAACTAGCATCCGTCCTGTCACTCTCCCTGTAACTGCAAACTACGAAAGCAAGCCAATGAATTGGTAAAAAGCCTGTCACAGTCACTAAAACTTCTGCTTTCATTTTAGTATTTTGTTGACAAGAACGATAAGTGGACAAATAATATGGCTTTGTTGTTTACTCTTGTATAGGTGCACTCATTTTCGTGCCATTCTCTGGGTTTTCGGCGCGAGATAACAGCCGGTGAATGAGTAGATTGTCTTTATTATGTCGTACAATTGTGGTGCGAGATCTTGTGTTGGGTGTGATAAAACAGTTTACTAGTATTCACTGCGAAAATAAAGATCCGTGCTTCCGTCCGTTAACGCCTCTGCATCCCGATAAAGGCGGGTGGAGTGGTTTTGCTGGTAACACTTAAAAAAACAAAGTTGCCGATGTGTAAACAAACTTGAAACGGGTAAATGTCCATTTCAGTTGTAATTTCACAAATTGATGATTAATTAGGGTTAGACTGTCATTAGTCGTTCCTGTGTACATACGGAGAATCCTGAGTGCGGCCACCTGAGAGTGACGATAAGCTGAAACTTTTCAACTAAGATTTCGACAAATCCCTACTTGCAAAGTCGGTGTACAGACAAACAACTCGAGCGGTGAAATTCTGTGCTGCTCGCTGGTTCTAATAGTCAACTAAAATTTAGTAAAACGGACAAATTTTTAAGCGATTGAATCACAGTCTTCAATGGGTCGTGGAATTTTGACGGCTGTGTCTCATTTTCTTTTTTTATTTTCTTGTTTAAAGTTTCCCATGGAAAGCGAAAAGCCAACAAGTACTGACATCATGTCTGAAATTCAAACTCGTGTCCGTGTTCAAACAAAGTCCATCATGCCATTGAAACCGCTGATTGAATTATTAACTCCGCGCACAGAATGATGAACAATACGGAGACGTTTCTCAAAGATTTTTAATGACATTTGGCGATGAAATAATCTGTTTTAAGCGAAAACAAAAGATACCAACAATTATATGACGGTTGGTGATCCATCAATGGGCGTCTGTCTCACTGACTGCGTACTACATATGTACAGTTGTAGAACAACACAGAAATGACCTTGCTTTTCCTCGGTGAAATTTACATCTCTTATTCAAGATCATGTGTTTTGCTCGCCACAATAGATAGACCTTGGCTTGTTTAGAGGGAGAAAGAATCGTGTGTTTTTTTTTATACCGGCCTTATATCACATGTAAACTTGGCTGTATAGCTTGACTTCAACCACCGTGGACACAGTGTAAATAACCGTACCTTCTGTCGCAATTTAATTTTCTGGTGTCATCCGAAAAAGTCGAAGTGAAGGCCTTGGTGAGAGTGGGCGACAATACCCATTGTGCGGTACGACCATAACGCGTGACTTTAGAAATCTAACCCGGTTAGAAACATACGTACCAAATTTGAAGAAAATTTCACGGATGTGAGCAGACTTCAGCGGGCAATATATTATAGCGTTATTGTGGCTCCCTGATGACCGAAACAAAACGGTATCATCATCAGGCAAAATAATAGTGGGCATCGAGGGAGACGTATAAGGGGCAAAATATATTGCCCTTGTCCGGTCTTCCCAGACCAACTGGTAGTTTAACCATCTGCTGTTTTGGCATGGTACACGGTCTTTAATACTTTCTATAACTCAGTGCTCGATTGAACTTTAAACACCTACAATGTGAATTTTAAAAATCGCTGGACTTCAATAATAACAAATAATTAAAACAAATAATTTAATAATAAACATGATATTGATAATAATCTGAATAGGTAAAATTTGTAATAAGTCATACGTATTGTTTTCAACGGGGAGTGGACGCAGCAGAGATTACGCACAAAAGCCAGTCAGTTGCATGTGTTGTTGGCAGCCACTCGCCAATACTTATCACTATTGATTTTAAAGATAAATGTGAGTAATGCACTGATGTATCTGAAATGTACAACCCAGCGCACAATGATGACTCTTAAATTTAAAACGCACAGAGAAAGAAAGCGTGGTCGCCGCGTCTTCGCGTGGCGTGGTGTGCTTAAACGACGCCTGTTATCAAGGGCATCAAGGCTGAAATACGGCCATTTAGTAATAACAGCAATAAAGACACAGTAACAAAGATTGGTTTGAAAGCTGGAGTGGGGAAAAGTGGTGGTCTCCACTTTCATTCGCAAAGTCATCAAATCAAAACGACACTCTTTAGTAGTCACAGATAAGAATCTTTCAGTCAGGTCACGTGACAGAGCACTAAACGTAAGTGCAAAAATAACATACATAACAGCAGCCAGACAACCGGCTAAATGATAAACTGACTGGTAGATATGACGAACTGTGTCCAAGGCATCATTGAATTATAATTCCCATCATGTCGCTGTATCCAAAATGTTAGTTTTTAAAGTTAGTACGTACGCTCTCCGTCGCATGTGATGTGTCTTGTAATCGTTCAATGGCAGTTAGCATCAGCGAATGGCAATTGATATTTTTTTCGGCGCAGTCCGGCGAGTCTCATAGAATTTGCCTATCCGACCCATTCTCTCCAGTTTGTTGCGTCTCGATGTTTCTTGTTGACGTATTATGATTGTCAATTGCAATTGTGTGTATTTCCCATCCACTCTAATAGTCTCAGTAATATTTACAATAATAATCAAAGTGAAATAGAAAATCGATTTTTTTAAATAGTTTAACGAGCCTTAAACAATAATGGGATCCCAGTTTCTTACATTGCGGCCGAGTATATACATACACATTTCGATATTATTCGGTTTAAAACACACTCTTAATTCTGTGATTTTTTTGTAAATGTCATGTATTCTTGAAAACAAAGCATGGTTGAATTATATTTGTCTGACATCTGTTTCATTCTGTGTCCAGCTTCAACAGTTATTCCTGTACCTGGTACGTATGCGTGGCCAGCCACAGCCAGAGGAAAGCCACGCAGAGGTATGCTGAGAAGGGCGGTGTTCTCCGATGCGCAGAGGAAAGGACTGGAGAAGAAATTTCAACAACAAAAATACATCAGTAAGCCAGACAGAAGGAAACTCGCTTCGAAGCTAGGATTGAAAGATTCCCAGGTAAGTTATTTTTTCTCAAAATTTACATCTTTCTTTGTTCAATTTGAAACGATGAGGTTTTCTTGGAGGGATGAGAAAAGTGACAGTTACGGCACAATTGATCGCCAAGTCAAAACATCGATGACATTATTATCTCTAGTGTCAGTGTCTATAATAGCAATTCAAGGGAGTGATTCATAGTGTGAGAAATCTAGAATATATGTTGTCTCTAGGGGGCAATATTTAACGTAGGGTAAACACTTAATTTTTTAGTAGGATGGTGTGGAAGAGCTTTATCTTAAACGTATTCTTATCCTACAACAATTTTCAGATGAAAATAGTCAAGATAAAAAGTTTGTAAACTCCCTTTAGAGTGTATATATGACAAATTTGACAATACAAAAACAAAAGAGCATATAGTACAGTTTAACTTACATAAATAATAACAATTTGTAAACTTTGAATATGTGGTTTATTTTGACGTTCTTATGATCAGAAGTGAACACGCTCTCAATACTACCTGATTATACCTGAAATGGAGTGGAGGGGTATGAGGGAAACCTTGGGATGTTAGATATTTTAAAGTACACTGCACTTTTGATGTTGCCCTTAAGCGTCAGTGGTTTTTCAATATTCGAAATAATTGTTTGGAATCGGACAGTTAGGGGTCTCTTGGGTGGTATCACCTGTGCGATAACTGTTTATGGGCGTGGTCATTAGTGCTTGTCGCAGGATCATTAACCGCACCGTTGTTATCCTCCCTACGACACAGAATGAATGTGTTGACCGTATCATGCTGTTGATACGGTATTAGTGAATCGGATCACAGAGCCAAGCTGACGCGGATTTAAGTTTCTCTTTTTAATATAACATGCATTATCAATATTACGGGCTTATTAAAAATGGATCTGGATACTGTTAGTGTTAGTAAATTGGTGCACACTTGGTGCTGTCCGCCTCAAGGAACACGTATAGTGGCAGTGTGTTGATTTCTAAAAACATGGTTATTTTCCAGTGAAAACAAAACGTAAATCCAATTATCGCTCCCCGATCACAGGTTTTCGTGCCGCCATACATTTTCTTCTCATGCTAGATTTAAGCATCAACAAGATTACACTTCAAAATTACTGTCTATTTTCGAAAGGAAATATAGTGATTTAAATATTCTAAAACAATATATTGGTTGTGAAGGGGTCCAAGGAGGGATACAAAATATTAAAACGTATTGCACTGGCGATATGGCATTACAAGTTTTAATTACCGGTATAACACATTTAATTTCACCATTCTTTTGTTCCGAGGGAGGATGTTATGCCTTTGGTATATGTTTGTCAGTGAATTACTTCATAATATGATGAATATATGTTTTGTAATAATGTTATATGGGAACATGTGGCAACAATTGATGTCCCAAAACACAGACGCAACCCCCAACCCCAACTCCCTCCCCCTCCAATCATCACCACGCTACCGCGCTGTTTGCAATGCAAAACAAGCGGTAAATAACCTAACTTATTTATACATATCGATTACAATGTGAAACGTGCAAAGTTTCCTTAACGTGAAAGAAGCAATTAGGCCAGTATTTACCCCCAGCGTGTTTCGGAGTAATAAAATAAGTATGAAAAGACGCCCGTGGGGTGTTGTAAGAATCGAGGGGGGACTATACATAGAGGCATGGAAGTAATGGAGCTCCTTTGTGTTGTCTGTAAGGGGTGAATTGAAAGCTAATTAATATTCATTTACGGTGGTGCTTATTAAGTTCATCTGCTTGGGACGGTGTTAACAAATCATCTCTCCGATAGTGTGTCGCCTCCGTAAATACTGTCACCGGCATGAGCAAATCCATCGGTGTGCGATGAATACAAACCCGCGGCTCGATTACTCCGCTGATTTATAAAATGAGAATTCGGAATACTGTGGGAGAGTTGGCCTAACGCGATGAATAGACATTATTATTCAGATCTATTTTGTTTTTTGGGGTCGGAGAATGTTTCAAACGTGTTGTCGTGTAGGGTTTCCATTTAGTGCCCTGCCTTAATTTTTCGATTCGTGCAAAGGAGTACTACGTCGGAAACAATCGGGCGACTGTGCTCCCAACTCCGTGTTTACTTTCCACATAAAGTCCACGTTATTTCCCGTAGAAAGAGGGTACTGATCATGAACCGCGAGTGTCAACACAAGTGACATTAATCATATGGGAAATAAAATCTTTTGTCCATGTTTAGTGTATTTATTGTGTAGCTATTGGTAGTGATGTCACAATATTAATAATGATATTGATTTTTTTTATTATTTGTAGGTCAAAATCTGGTTCCAAAATCGAAGGATGAAGTGGAGGAACTCGAAAGAGCGGGAATTACTGTCGTCCGGGGGCTCTAGGGAATCTACTCTGCCTAATAAATCCAATCCAAATCCAGATTTGAGCGATGTTGCAGACGACAGGAAACACGAATTAAGTGACTCCGAAAAGGAGATTGACAGTATTGCGAGCAGTCCCTGCGCAAGTCCCACAGCGGAGGACCATAACGGCGACATCATCGTACCACATGACCATCACATTGACGATATGGCCGACGACATGATCGTCGACGACGACGATGACGATGACGAAGAGGAAATTAAAGTTTTGTAGTTCTGACATCATATGATTGCAGTGCGTCGTCATTTTGGTCTGCAACTGCCGCCACCCGTGTTGCTATGGGAACTCTTGACATCGCCCTCTATTCCCTCCACCATGAATCATGATGGCGGAAATGAGGATTGAGACATTATCACGTGACCTGTGTGGAAATCCTCACCATGTCTTCCGCGTATTTTTCAGAACACACAAAAAAACATTTATTTTTCAAAGGATACTTTTGATTACTAGTACTTAAATAATGCAATGCGTTGTAATGTTAGAAACCTAGTAACTATTGCGAGTACAACGTCCTTCACAAGCGTTGCCAGGTAGACCAGTTACATGATGCAAATCCCTGTTCGTCGCAACTGCTGGCAATGCAAATATTGGGCCAAGCTGACGCTAAACTAACAATCTTGCAAAATGAAAGCTCTCAAACAAATGTATATTTTCACGAAAGCCATCTTTGTCAACAAGAATGACTGTAGGAAGCGTAAATGATAAGTCGATCAAATCGAAACGTATTTTATGTATGTCCGAGTAGTAGGACATTGCTCACCTAATTTAAGCGTGAGTTGTTGCTAGGGAAATTGACACCCATAAATCCAAGATATGATACCATAATTCGAGGTCGTTAAAAAAACACCCAAAATTGCATTACTGGTAGACATACTACCTCCAATGCAAAACAAATGTACACAAAGTAGTGGCCAGAGCGTGTGATTACAAATGGCACTCGACTTTGATTGGCAGGTTCATATCACGTGCTGAGTACACACGGGGTGCTTAATTTGTCAAAGTTACGAAAGTGAAAATCATTACGATCTGTATGCGTCAGTGCTAATTTTTATTAAATGAACGCATATAAAACATTGGACACCGGCAGATTTTGTTATGTTTGTTCTGTTTTTATTGTGGCTTCATTTTGATTGAGCATACCAAATCGCATCAACCAGGTCCAACCCAACCTCAAAACGTCGATATATTTAATCGAGAGCCATGTTAGGGTGCCAGTTTCGAAAGTTTGGATTGCGTTAACAAAAAGAATCATTTATGATGAGTGGTTCTCTAAGAAGTACTCAATTTCTGTCGAATGTTTTCTTGTTTGTTTTTCGTGGCTTCAATTTTGTAGTATTCTCGCTTAAATTCGATAGCTCACGCCTAAAACTGAACATATATTCTAATCAAGGCTTTTTTTTACCAATGGCTGCACAGTTGAGTGATTTTTTTTAGTCGAATAATTATTTATTATCTTTGTTTTCTAGAGTATATATACATTTTTAAACCTGTATATTATTTTATCGAATATGAATTAAAACAAGCAACTTGGCGTATATGTGTTTTTCATGAGATTCCTTGTTACACAAATCATCATAAAGTTATCACAGTAAATGACAAAGATCGCTAGACGCCTAATTATGTACGTGGTAGCTGTATCCCACGGTCACACTATACCTGACTATGCTCGTTGGGATTCCGCCCAATTCCTTTACATCCGCAAAACAGTTATTCACGTTCTCCAGTCATGTATATGTATTTGCATTCAACAAACAAATAGTCATTTCAATATTAGTTTATCTATAGTAATACATTTATAATAATATGTATTTTTCCGGATATTCTGAACGTTGTTAAATTTGAGTCGATGTTAAAATAATCATGACGTCATACTGTAAAACACCTTGAAATAGCTACGATGCTATTTTAGCGAATTCGGTTCAATACGCAAATTGACGGAATCTTAATTTCGCTAAAGTGTCAGCATTGTAAGAATTTACTTTTTTTAGATTATCTACATCTTGAATTAGCGAAATTACAGATTAGCTACATTAGCTAAAATAACAAGCTAGCTAAAATACACGTCTGACATATGGATGTTTTCGAAATAGATGATAAAAACGTGGCCTATATAACCTGCCAAATTATATAGCGCTATGTTTACAATGATTGATTTCACTATTACAGGCTGTCTGGCACAAATATTGGTATACAAAATCACGGAAACGGTACATTCAAATCAAAATAAAGTTACGAGGATAGAGGTTGTAATAAAAAAAAATGCCAGATCATTCCAAAGATGGAAGATTTAGTTGATCATGGCAAGTAATATACGCCCAAGCGTCGCGCAGAGTGTGCTGTGCGGCGACCGTGGCAGTCAACGCCCTACAGTCGCCGCCGCGGCCTCGCGTCCAATTCGATGCCAATAGTGGCACTTTGTGGCACTTTAATTGAACATGTTGCTATTATTTTGCTGATATAAATAGCCCAAAAACGATATTCTAGTATATACGCCGGCTTGCTCGTACAATGGAATGTCACTGTACTCGTCCCCTCCTCTCACCACCACCCTCCTCCTCATCTTCATCCCTGTTACTCGAGTTGACTTAATATCCGGCTGGAATTTACGTAAATTGAGAAGGGAATATCACAGACTCTCGTAACCCTCCAGTCTACACACCCTGTTGTCTGATTGTCCACGGATCAGAGTGACTAGTCATTTATTCCGTATATTTAAAAAAGAAATTAATATCTTTTTTGTCATTTCGGACTAAGCTTTATCCTGGTGACAATTTAATCTTGTTTTTATTGCTCGTCGACTAGTAAAGCATGGTGATGCGTGTGTATTGATATTACAACCCGTTATAAGCGTGCGTCCGCTGCGTTTAATTACAATTGTTTTAAATAGGAGACGCCCCTTCCCCCAGCGGATCAGGGTAGCGGTCGTGGACAGTGACCAAATCGGCGACCCCCTAAGCTCAAGGATTTCTAGCAGTCACGTGCTGATGGCATTCGAGACTTGCGTGAAATTTCCGATAATTGAACAAGGATATTCTCCTTTAACACAACTCTGCGCGTGAATGGAGAAATTTGTGAGAGAGAAAAAATGATTATGGAGCAAGCATAATCTACGAAACATCTGTTGCGAGCATTAAAAATCTCATAACAAAGGAATTAGTATTATTGAAAATTCATTTTGTATTCCTTAATCATTGGACCATATGTGTGTATGATTGAGCGATGTGGTGTTTAGAGTGAAAACACTATGCATATTATGAAGGGATATAAGGAGAGATTTATTATTCCTATATAAAAGGCGGACCTGCGTTTGAATAGCTGACTGCGCTAAGCTGGAGTAAATGTCGCTATATATATACATACATACATATTATACGCTCGTTTATCCGGGTGGCAAAATTGCGCGTGTGTTGGCGCGTCTACGGCGGAGGCGTTGGTACGTGGAAACAGAAAGGAGAGGAGATTCCAGGGACTGGGTGGGGGGGGGGGGTCTGAATCTGAGACCTTGCCGAGCGCCATTTTTTTTCTATTCTCAATGTAGTTACAACTTAGTCTATTACATTTTTGTTACAACTACTATTTATGCTATAAATTAGTGTCTAAACCTAATATTTTTTTTATTATTTCCTATAACGTTATAAACCTAAATTTACGCATACCAATGAGGTTTTTTAATTCAAGTAATCGGCGTGTAGTTGGTGTAGTCATATGCCTGTCACTCAGTCTCGTCACTCTCATCCACTTATTCTCCTGCGAATACCATAAGCTCTTTTTTCTATGCGTGTGTCATTTTTTTCTCCTTTTACCGACACGGTCCTTGTAGGTTCGTGACTGAGCTTATATTTTATATATAAAAAAAAACATGTAGTCTGTTGTTTTTACATTATTGTTGATCTGAAGCAGCATAGTGATCCCAAAATCTCAAGACAATGTGTTCTTATACGCGCACTAGCACCGGTTGTGTTCCTATGTTTTGGTGTAATAAATCTGGCCTGTCAATACGTTGAATTTTAGTCACCGTCAATACGGGGCTGTATTGACACGATAGATCATTGTCAACACGCAGTTGGCGTTATCCTTCAATTTTTAAATGACTTGTTTTTGTTAATAAATTGCGGGAAACATCTGTACTATAGGAGGTTTGGGTTTTCGCAAAACTTACCCTGTACTCAAAATGTTAAGCGTTTTAGCTTCCATCACAAGGACTCGAAATACCCCCCCCCACTCCTGTTCTCATTGGTCACACGGTCATCCTAGGATAACCGACTCATCCTAGTCCCCAACCCACCCCACCCCTCTCACACATTTAACCAACCACACCTTCACTCGGCTAAATTTACCAGTACTAGCCATCTATCATGTAGAATCATGATAATGGACATATTTCAGATGGTTTGGTGACGACGTCATACTTGGTTGGTTCGCTTCAACACAAATTAACAAACATGACAAGCCGCTTACATGACAGTGTTGGTTTTTACGGAAGCTGAAAAGTTGATTTTACAAAACTTGAAGAGCAAATACAAAGTTTGAAGCGGTACATGTAAGGGTCTTGCACTGTGAAAATAAACAATGTGCATCGAACTTAGCGCGAATTAGTATGGCTCCGAATACGCGTCACGCTGCCTCCTTTGTCACTGTGCACAGTGCGAAACGTATGAATGTTTGAGGGCACAAACATTGATAATAAAAGCTCGTTTGTGTGGTTCGGTTTATCAAGTGCTGGTTTGTCGTCATAAAACGCTGCATTTGGCGTGATTCGGACACCATGATAGATTATCTGTTTGCTGAGCTCCTGTGTGTGCAGTCGCATACAAGCAACAAGCACGTACGTAAAACATTCATTTGTTTGCAGTGCCGCGGCCGAAGCCGAAGAGATTAATACACCAGTCCAGCTATTGGATGCCGTCATTCATCATGACTGGTCACGTGATACGACTTCTCGAAACAAAATGTTATCGTCTGCGTGCGAAAATTGCCTTAATATGCAATATTTGTTCATCTTTCCATCCTTCCCGCCGCCCGGAAAAAAAATGGCCAGAGGCTTTCGATTTTATTTCAGCCAGATAGAAAAAGGTTTACTGTTCCGCAGACGACAAAGGTTGTCAGCTGACTGTCGGAAAAAGGTAATCTCTCATGTATGCTACGAGATGTCAAAGGGGGTATATTCATTCCACTAATTGCTAACAAAACAACCCTTAGAAGGTGCGAATTGACGATAAGTGACTTATTCTTTGTCAACAAACCAACACCTACTTCGACACGTCTTTAAGGACCCAGTGAAAACCATTGAGGAGTCTATTGAGATAGCCCCTTCATTGTGTCCAGCATGCAAAGGCACGTCTCAATCTTCCAGCTTCCCACCAAATATTCAACTGGTGCCCCAGATGTCTGGCGGCAAAAGACTGGCTTTTACCACATGGACTCCCAATGCTACGTAAGTTGTTCATCATGGTGACTCACATCGCGTTGGCACGCATATACTTCTACCGAGTTTATTTATTTAT